CACACACACACACACACACACACACACACACACACACACACACACACACACACACAATTTTGACCATGGTAAGCGGCTGAATATGTAATATTCACCGTATTTCTTTGACAGAAACTGCTCGTAGCCTGGCAGATCCTCGGCAAGAGGCGCCTCCGGTCTTCCGTGCCCGCGACCTCTATTCGCCTTCTTCGGTTTCTTAAATCCGGCAGGCCCTCCGTCGGCTGTGCAGTGCTTGTTCCCATGAACCTTCGTCGCCCCCTGTCCGCCTCCTCCGTTACCAGCACCGCCAGTGTTACCTCCCTGACTACCAGGGCTGCTGTTACCTCTCACGTTGCCTCCATTCTTTCCTGGCATCGCTGTGATGCCGGCGAAAGCGAATGCAAACATCACCATCAGCGTCTGCAGCTTCCAATTTGCTCGCGCCCTCCCCGCCTTCGCACGCACTAACACGCGCAGTACCCTGTTCAAGCCCATGGTCGTATAGTCTTCGTGTGTTCGCACGCGCCCGTTCGCTGGTAATCACACAAGGCGTTACTGCGCTGCTAGCTTTGCTTGGGCCTTCCTCGGTGTCCTGACCTCGTTTCAGGTCAACCCTGGGAGTCAGCAACACCTGTTTCCGCTTCCGATTGCGTCTCTAGCTCCGCGGTGACGTCGTTTTGTGTGACTCACACCACTGGTCCACAGACTCTTCCACTGCTGTTGTTGCCGATATGGCGTCTACGCGCGCGTACTATCGACGTAGACGTACTTTCGCTGGATGGCGGTAAGATACGTTCAGCGCTAACCGCAGCGACTTATAAACGGCGTCGTCATTTCTTCGACCTAGAAGACATGCTCGACTGATCAATGATCGCGAACGCGAGATAACGCGGGCGGAACGTTAGAGCGCTGAGTGGAACATACCGGTTGTTGGTGGAGGCCGGGTAGCACAAGGAAAAAGAAACTAGTCACGAGTCTCTATCCGATTGACTGTATTAATTCATACGTGATTATTTGGCATCATGCGTGAATAATAATAGATAATGATATTATTGTTCTAAGTTATAGATAAAGTATAAGTTAGAAAGCTATTATTATATTACTATTATTATAGTTAGTATACTATTAGTATAAGCTAAATAAGTTATAGATAATAATATTATTGTGAATAATATGGGTGCTGAATCTGAGTAAACGTGAGGGGGATTCGTGTACAATAAAGATTGTATAATGATTATAAAAGTAATACATTTTGTTACTGTATGTGTGTATTGTTTGTTGTTGCTGTTGTCGCTACAGGCCTAGTTACTGCAGCTGTTGTCGTTAATGTTCGTAAGAATTATAGAAAATGCGAATTTTAGAAATTGAACTTAATTATTGGTTTTAGTGTTCATTCTACTACTGTTTCACTTCACTGATTTACCGTCCCCTCAAATATACACACACCTTCGCGTCTATATTGTACGTATTCGTGTCAAGTATATTTCCTGGTTCGTCAATACTACTTACTGAATGTCTCGCGTCATGTATAGTGCCCGGCTAGATATATTGTTGGTCCGACAGCTATTGCGTTTGAATCTCCATATCTGTTTCATTCTAGCAAGCCTCTCACGCAAACCTCAGCTCAGCGCGAGCGTTAATAAATAACTAAATATATATATAATCTTGTACATACCTATATATCTATACCTATAATGATATATATATCCAATATATATATATATATATATAATATTTAATCTATTTATTATTTATTATTTATAACGAGCGATATTAACCAGCTGTCCGTCTCTGGCAGACGATGAACTGTACACACATTAATGATACTACACCTATATGTTTCTGCCGACACGATAAGCCAGCACGCTTCACGTTGCCCGGACGGCACACAGCTGACGTTGCACGATCCCGGGAGCACGTTGTTGACGTGACCCAGACCGCGGTCAGCGGCCGTTGCGAACCAGTGAGCGGCAACAATGAGGCGGGGGCGCGCCGCACGCAGCAGCAGGCTGCGCGGTTAAACAGAGAGTTCAACACCATTAAGCGTTAAGCAACTATAGGCTGAACGGAAGCACTGGGCCGGAACGTACCCTGGTACGGGTTCGGATATACCCGTGGAACGTATCCCTGGTCTATGCTAATATGCCGGACGCGTACTCGCCTACTCGCACTAACCGAGTTAGGAATTCGCACTTACGCCTACCGGCCTGAACCCTAACCTAACCTATACGCCATAACCGCTAAACCTAAGCCGGCCGGTCACAAACGGTCGAAACGAATTTTGTCTGGGGAGCCCCATAACAATATTGTCGTGGGCGCAGATCATTGCAACATGGCGGCCGAAATATAACTTTCGAGAGTGGTCACAAGGGGCAACGACACAATATAAAGATGGTTTGAGCGATGGGGACAGCGACAGAAAAAAAAGATATGTACGTGGTTATGTCGTGGGTGTGTCGCAAGTCAAGTCGGGCGTCAGTCCGTGAGAGTGTCGGGGTGCCATTGTCCGGCGGCTCGTTTCACAGTGAACAGGTCTGGTTACGTTCGTGGATGACGTCTAGGAACAGTCGTGGCGAAGGGCGCACAACCAGTCGTATGTCCATTATCGAGAGTCACGCGCACGCGTTCGTATCCCCCGACTATATAACGAGGCCCGATCTGTGCCCTGCCATTTGCTGCAAGAGATTTTCCAGCTGGAATAATCGAAGTTCTACCCGAATGTTTTGACCATTCTCGTCACTTCATTCTAATTCAAAGTTAGTATGCCAGGATGCTCTCACAGAGAAGAAACGAGCAACTAAGAGAGGTGGTAAGGCATAAGCAAGGTTGCCTTGTGATGCGAGGGCGACCACCATCAGCACCAGCCTGCAGTGAAACAGCTCAGATCTCCATACGCATGAACCCCACGAAGTCAACCAGCAGATTCCCGCTCCCCAACTCTTGCAATAAGAGTACTATTATCTGCCCGACAAACATCAGGCGCAGCTTCGAGTACCAGCGCGAACCCACAAACCGCTCGGGGGGGAGAGGGGTTTCGGCCAGGTTCCTGCGGCGGCTCCCGGGGCGCCGGATCAACGCCACCACAGCACCATATTATGCCGTGCTGAGTTTCGCTCCCAGACGCTCGCGCTTCCAGCAGGGGCCACGCGTAAGTCGCGTCAGGTGATAGCCACCGCTTCAGCGCCGACAGGCAAGTTCTTAAATTCCAAGCGTCATTTGCCGAGCCTCACTAGAACCCTCAAAAAACGAAATATGTTCAAGACTAACGCCAAGACATAACGCACAGACAGAGCTGCAATGTGTGCGAGCTTCTACGAAAATAATATCAGTGAGAGCAATCTTGGCATGTCTGCACGACTGTCCTGCGACAGCCGTGTAGACAGTTTAAGACAGTCGTGGCAGATAGTCGTAAGATTGTTTGACTAAAAAAAAAATTCGGTACCCCCACGACAAAATATTTAGTCCGCAACGATACAGTGGCGCAAGACTGTTGTAGGTACACGACTCACGAACAACCAGAAGACATAGATACCGACAAAAATCGTGCACAGAAAAGGTGCATGTCAAGTTTGGCCTGGCGCGACGGGATAGTAAGTCGATGCCACGATGCTCAATTTGTACGACTGTCTGCGACGTACACCCTCGATGAACCCGCACGATTTGCCAATTTTCTGCGTGTTCGTGGCACGAAAATGCGTCGTGGGCTCGTGTGACGAGGGCTAAGCCATATGCAGTATAGTACCAGGGTACGTTTGCGATATACCCGACGCGTTCCAGACCCTGATAGTACCCTGGGGGATATAGACACATAGAATCTATGATCAGCACTTAGCGATGTGTACATACACATACATACCCTACATTTGCCACACAGCACGCGTAGACAATAGCTCGGGGGTAGTCAGTGTTCACGCGAGCGTGGCTTTTAAAAAACCGCTCACCAGACAGCTGTTAGCTAATTTATGTATAATTGTTAATGTCTATAGACGATAGACCACATGCGTGTCCTATTGTATGGGGGGATTTTTTAGAATTGACGAAACGCATGCGCGGGATATAGATCTGCTAGTTAGCTTTACATGCACTTGTATAGGCAGTGAACATAGAATGTACAGACAAATGGGTTTGATCTTGGAAAGTGTTAAAGAGATGACTTTAATATATTGTTAAAAGATTTGTGTCGAGCTTCTAATTGTTCAAATCTGTCAGCTCCCAGTCACGCTCCAAAATATATCAATAAATTCATCATAAATTCATCTATATATCATAGATAATTTTAATTCTTCTAGTATTTCAAATAATCTGTCAGAATCATCAAGCATAATGGGCTAGGCATGGAGCTAACCATATGCCGAACGTAGACCGCGCGCGGATCAATGACAAACCATGGTTAAGTGAGTGCGAATACTCGGCGTGGCGTGCGAGATATGTCCTGCAGGCCGCCGTAGACAGAGGTACTTGATACGTTCAATTAGTAAAGATGATGGGAACTTAAGAGGCACCGAAAGTCACAGAGCGGCTCACGCGGCAAGGCAGCGAATTCCTGGCATGTGCAATTTTTATTATTAATTATTTAATTAAGTAATGGAAAATTAATGTAATTAATGTAATCTTAAAATAATTAATGATCTGCGGATCACCACGCTACAAATGTAATTCAATTCTAAGTTATCCCCCATTTCTGACAGGCTATCCGCGGAAATATATTTTATTAATATAATTAATTAGTTATATAAATTAATTGCGAATGCGGATCACCCCAACAAAATGTAATCATTCTAAAGAGCCACTGTAACACGGAAGCAAAGTCTTAGATATGGCAGAACATCGAGCAAGAACCATCGAGGCAAAGCTGCCGAGTTGCAAAGAACCAGTTTGCCAAAGTTTGCGCAGTGTAAGAGACGCATGTTGGCAAACCTCTCGGCAAACTAGTTGCAGAAGTTGCAGAAGTTAGGCCGTGCACCTTCTGGCAAAACTAGGTTTGACTCGAGGTTGCTGAGGTTTGGAATAACCAGTTCAATCTCAAGATGACATTTGTAGTCAATGTGATTCCTGACAGTAATAGACAAAACATTAGACCATTGAACAATTGGAACACAGTCAGTAACGACAGTGAAACTGACGAAGTTTGCTCGAGTTTGCTCGACTCGGCAGTTTGTTGGAGTTGCAAACTAAGTTGCGTAGTGTATACAGGGCTTAAAGTTACGCGACCATTCTGCTTTCTATCCTGAGATTTTATTATGAAATGAATGATTAATTAATTAATTGATTCCGGATGCACAACCATAATCTCATCAATCTATATTAGGCCATTTCTTGACGTATCCTGAAAATTTACTGAGCATGCCGGTCCATAACTTTTCAGTTAGGCTAAACTTGTATGATACAGGCGGTTCAGGCGCGCGGCGGCTGCGGTGGGCGGGCGCAATGGTGCAGGCCCAATACGCGAGCGTCCCAGTCAAACCCCACACAACCACAAACTCACAAACCAACACTCAACTACACGCCGGAGATAAACATGAAACCTTCGCCAAGCCCCTGGCGGCGTATTAACAGATGAAAAATTTACGACAAGAGTCTTTTAAACGTTTCTCCTTACTGTTGCCTATTATGCCGATAATTCAATTTCGTGCGAATCTGCCGAGTTTAAATGCTCGCTCTGCAAAACAGATCGAGTAACAGGCAGCGTAGCACCCGCCGTGCACAAACAACACGAGAAGAAAGTATAAGATAACAGAATAACTTTCGCCTCGGAGAAGAGAAAATCTACAAAATATGTGCATTATAATTATACGATAGAGAATCTTTGCCATTGTTCTTGATGCCACAACGCGCGTAAGAAGTTTGCGCCAGTGTCACGAATTGTAAGTATATAAGTAAGATAATATTCGGCCGTTTGTATACGTTTAATGGAAGCCGGCATGGCTGACGAGCACGTGTGCATAGTAAAATCTGATCTACTAGCTTCACTCGCATCGCAGCATCGCCCACGATACCCAGCTATGCTTAATGTAGGGCTAAATGGCCGCTGCAACGTCGGTCGGCGACGGATGACTGCTACAGATACGTATTTCTTGCGGCCCGTTTTATGCCGTTCACAGTAGAGCCGGGCAAGGCTGACAGCCGGTGTGCATGGTAACCTTATGACTATGCTTCACCTTCGCTTGCAGTATCGCGCGAGCATGAACGATTCCAGCGTATGCTAGTTGTATGGGCCAACTGGCGCTGCAACGTCGGTCGCCGTTGACGTGCCAGATAATATTCTCGGCCGTTCTTATACGTTCAATGGAAGGGCCGGCGCGCGCTGCCTGACAGCCAGCGTGTGCAATGGTAAATCTGATTCTACATGCTTCACTTCGCTCTGCAGTATGGGCACGGGTCCACGATCCGCGCAGCTATGCTAATGTATGGGCAAATAACGCTTGCATTACGTCGGGACTGCAACGGTAATATTCTATCGCAGCTGAGAAGTCGTGGCCGGCGTTGGCTAGCGAGCGAAGTGAAGCATGTAGAAATCAGGATTTTACCATGCACACGTGCTGTCAGCCTGCCCCGCGCGCTCCACTTTGAACGTTAAAGCAAAGTTAAAGAAATCCGCCGCAGAATTCTCTATGGCAGGGCCAACCGATGACCGATTGCTCGAGCGCCATCTCATGTGGACATTAATATAGGGAACCCAGGGGCGGCGATGATGCGAGCGAATTGCCCTGTTCGAAAGTCCCTGAACGTACAGTTGAGCAACTATATACGCATGTACAATGGATAGGTCGCGAATACGTCGGAAGGAAATGGCGCATGGCGGGCGACGTTAAGGCATTTAATTTAGAGTGTGACGATGCCTTTAGAGGTATACGTAACGAAAATGCACCCTGCGCTATTTAATGAG